GGGTTTGTCATTACTACCTAATGACAAAATCCGCAATCACTTAGTTGCCAACCTAATATTAACACGTTGAATGCCACGTCAGTTTTACAAGGTTTTACAAGGCCGTGGCGTCACGATGAATTTTTTATTATGCGATACATATAATGTTGAAATATTACCTACAAGAGATATGTTATGGTATATAATCATCATTAATGAATTTATCTCACTGAGGTCACTGGTGACCCACGTGGCGTTGTAGTGCAGTTTCGCTCGATTCACTTATTTTTGCGATTATCAATTATCTCATATTGTTTCTTCGCGTTGCTCAAATAATTGCTCCACGTTGTTACGTGCCGGGATCTACCATAAACCATAATCCATCCCTCGGTCATACTTATTCGGACCTGCAATAATTCTAAAGAACCGCCACAAGATTTAGCATTGTCTACTTTACTGTCAAGGTCCTTTTTTTTATATGTTTTATACTGCATTAATTTCGTCACACCATTGTAGTAACGATGGTAATAATAAAACATTTATAACTATTCACATTTGTTCAAATTATGTATTTCTACTAATCTTGGTACGCCTGTCATCGGTGACCCGCACGGCGCCACGGCAAAGTTGAGTGCGGGTCACTGGTCACCCCATGGCATTCAACGTGTTAAGCTTAAAAATTGCTTACTGATGTTTGCTGACAAGAAACTTGGTTGAGCCCCGGTGGATCTCTGACTTTAGGTTTCGGTCAAATGTTATTTCATCCGCAACCAATTCTAACGCAAACGCTGCCATAGACGTTCAATTAATAAGTAAAATTCAAAATACAGTAGAGTCTACTCCGTACTTGTGCAATGAATTTGGATCTGTATGTCGTTCAAATATATATTTACGTGCTTTACTTTGAGCAAATCCAAAGACTCATTCACATTCCTATTTCAAACACTCGTACCTCAGACGTATCTATTCATCTTCTTGAACACGTATAATTATATTGTTAATAATATCGTTTAATATAATCATTGGCTATTTTTATTAATTTGTGTGGACATAGGACAATGTTGCTGTCGTGCGGCGACGCAGCTTGGGATGCGGAGAAGATTCGACTGAGCCGCGAGGAAGACCTCTACAGGCAGGAGATGTTGAGGCTGGTAAAAGATCTAACGTACGTGTTTCATTTTATTCTCTCGTTTCTTCTCGTATCTCTTAGATGTATTCTCTACAACCGTTGACACATGATCTGCCGCTTTCAGCGAGCTGGAGAACACAGTGGAGGAACTACGTGGCAACGTCATAAACAGAAAGACAAGGGTCAATATGTCGGATGTGGAGAACATGGCCTTGATAATGAGCAAATCCAGGTAAAGGGACAGAGAGAGAAAGGCGAGTTACTAAATTGGTAAAAGCTAAACGGCAGTTGCAAAAGCTTTCAAGAACTAAACCTGTGTACTTTCAAGTTTGACTAATTTTATAACGTCACCATACACATCCATTCTCTTACTTTCAAAAGCAAATCCTATATTCCAATTGAAAACGATGTGACAGCCCGCATTTTCTGTTTTAGCAAAACGGTAGCGGACCTGAAGGTGCGATTCCCGAGTCTTCAGGAAGGTATGAAGGGTTTATTGAGCTCTGAAATGGAGATGGTCGTACGAGCGGAGAAATTCCTGAAAGAAGAGCCAGAACGATTAGAGTCGGCGTTGAAGCGTTGCAAAAAGCTCACTAGTACCCTCGTGACGCTCAAACGGTAGGTAACATTGCTACGGTCCCTGAATACGGTCCACATGAATTAGGATCATGTAAGCGCGCAACGAAAGATGCACAAAATTAACTGGGAAACGAGTGAGAATTATAAAGGGATAGAAGAAATTTGATATTGTGTTCGCCAAAACTAACTGGTAATCTGTATATTCCGCAGTTTGGCGTCGGTGCAAGAGCAGCGATTACCAAACGCAGCAGCGAGCGTAGACGCCGAGGAGACGCCACCGATAACACCGACCTCTGCTCAACATTCCAAGGTAACGCTTCATTTGCCCCGCTCGCTCGCTCGCTCGCTGTCTTTTATTTCTTTTTCTCTTTTCTAATGTCTCTGTCTATCTAATCTGGATCCTCGTTCGACTTCTTTCTCAGCTATTTCCGTTCCAATAATACCCGTTGCATGGAATTCCTGAAGAAAAAACCTATCACGATCCTGTGATCCAGTTTGTCGCGCTTTGGAAACCTCTCTGCCCCCTTCCGAGAAGGATGAAAAAAAGAACGAAGCGTTTGATTTGCGAAAATCTCAATGAAAGATCGCGTACCGTTGTTGATAAAAGGCACTCGACATGGAGCACAAACGCAACTTCGCGTTCTACGTTTCTTCGTGGGACGTTCGCGTGGATTGTGCCGAGAAATCTTTGCAAAGTCGATGCACGTGGTTCCCCTTTCTTCGTCGTGTTTGTACGATTTGCTTGACAAAGAGAACTTTACACGCGGCTAGAAGCGACAGAAGCGTCGAAAACTTTCCGCGAGTGATTAAAACAGAGCAAATCCTGTAATGTCGCGAGCGAAAATGTGACGCGGTCTTTTGGCATAGTCTCGTTGTTTAAATGAGAGTAGCGTCAGAAACACCACTCCAGAGCTTTGTAGATCTATCTTTGCCTAATCGAGTAAAACAATGTGGTATCTTGCAGTGACGTACGTTAAGTCTGACCACCGCTTACCCCGTATCCTATTATGCTAAACAGCGCATGCAACGAGTGACATAGAATTTTGTCTACACATATATATTTATATAACTGTATACATAACTATATATGTATATATACATATCGTACTTTTGGTATTGGTACACATACTCTCTCGTATATTTTGTATGCGTATCGTATGTACACCCTCGTTCATAAGTGTTAGAACACTCGTGAAAAGTTAGATTTGGATTAGGTTAAAAAGAATGTCAATGATCTTCAAATCCTGAAGAGATAACTTTACGTCAATTTAAGCCAATTAGCTCTGTCCTCGCATCATTCTTTCTATTGATAAAAAAAGCAACGAAGATGTTTTGGGAGTTTGAGATGAACAATCTGCATAGTTCTATAATTTTATAATTCTATCATATCATAATACTTTCAGAAATATACATAGAATTATACAATTATACGATACTATAATAATACTATAATGTTACAACTCTATGATACTTTGCTAGACGCTATATGCTATACCAACGAGATTGTATAACTTTCTCATTCGAAAAATTCTTGCAAACAATTTCTTCGCCAAATTGTATTCATACGTTACTGGATATTGTTTTATACGAATTAAAAATTCTAATCGGTCTAAATCTTTTCCTACCAATCCATACCAATGTATCGCATTCTGTACAATATACCACTAGGTGTCCTAATACTTAAAAACGGGAGTGTACATACATACGCGAGTCCATGCGTGCATTCGTGATCTTTCACGCAATCGGCACCAAAACACTGCGAAACGCGTGCCACCGAAATACACTTTGCTTGATTCGCCTGTATCCAAGAGTAAACTCGGTCTCGGGATTCGTCTCTGGAAACGATCTCGTGCGTACAGTGCCTTCTCTACGGCTTCAAGTTCGCGAAAGATACGGTCTTCGCGTGTTCGTTACTCCAAGAAGGATCCTCGTTGGATCCATGGATCTCTTCGTCGACCGTTGGATCTCTCGGTCTCTCGATCGAAGTCTAGTCGAAATCTAATGTAAACCTTTCCTCGATACGAAACGAGCCGCTCGTTTCTCGGACGAGCTTTGTCGCGAAAATTCAGCGGCCAGGACCAAGTCTCGTTACTCTATAGAGGTAAAGGATTGGGGCAGTACGCCAAACACGCGTTTCTATCGAACGTCCCAGTGACAAAACGAATCTTCCTTCAACTTGTGTCTCTTTGTGACATGGACCCTGACTTCCACCCTGATCAACCCCCCATCACCAATATTTTCAGTGTTTGCTGTGTCCCGATAGTATAGATATTTTTTATACATTTAGCAGCGTATGATGTGACAAAACGAGTTTCGGTCGTCGAGCCACGATACGAAAAGCTCTTTTTCCCAATTTTCTCTGTCTCCTTGTTTTCTTTGCTTCTGTATCGAATGACCGCGAGTGCCGACGACCGTGTTTTGTCAGATCATTCTCAGTGTTAGTTGTGACTTAAGGGGAAAAAAAGGAAAAAAGAAAGGAAAAATCTGCGTCGCGACGGGATTAAAGAGCGTTTGTTCCCACTATATTTTATATTATATATATATATAAAAATCTTGTCTTTTTTTCAATTAAATCTTGTTCGAAAGAGACGAATTTGGAGCGGCGGGCTGGACGCGAGACAACAACGACAAAAATTTGTTCGCCATCGTCGGTTGTTGCTCGCGTTTTGATCGTCCCTTCTCTTTCCGATAATACGAGCGAAACGAGAGGTTCGATCGGCTCTAACGATGATGATGATGATGATGATGCTTTGCCACATGTAACGTCGTCCTGATACGAGTATATGCCTGACAAGCGACGCGGGTTACGCAGACCTTACGCCGCTGTCTCGACACAGCGAGTTTTTAAATTAGACTGTTTATTAATTAAAGAAATAATATCTCTCTATATATTATATATATATTCCTCTCTGTCTCTACTTTTCCTTTTTAATAAGAACTATAAAACGCAGGTTGCAGGCAAGATAGTGAATATTATATTAATTTTTTAGTATGGCTGGAAGTGGAGTACTAACTTCAAGGAGGCCATACAGACCAGTCACGAGTAATTTTTTAATGATTCATATATTTATAAATTATTAATTATTATTATTAATATTTCTACTTTATTATTATTATTATCATTATTATTATTATTATTATTATTATTACCATTATTATTACCATTATTATTCTGTACTATTTTATATACTATATATATATATATAAATATCCATACATCCAAACGCACATATATATATGCAAACATATGTACACTTATACAATCACCAATTCCAAATATATATTCACACACGAAATATATATATATATACCCCCCATACACACCCCTAAGCGCAAACGCTCACATACATACATACATACATACATACATACATACATACATACATACATACATACATACATACATACATACACACACACACGCGTGTTTATATATATATTATATATATATATATTCCTTTTGTCGGTATGATGTCTGCCGCACAAATCGTCATATTGTTCATATAACTGTTTATCCTTCACGACGCTCGAAGCATTTTGCCAAATTCCTCCCGTCTTTCTTTTTTTCCGTGTACACGCGCGAAAAGAGACTGTCCTTTTTTTTTAAGCGGTAGCGAGAGAGAAAGTAAAGCCTTGCGTGGAAGTTTGGCGGAATTCTTCGAGGGATTCGCCGAGCGAATTCTTGTCGTCGTTGCTCCGGATCTATACATATATATAACTCGTATATACATATACATATATATCGTTTAGACGCGATAGAGCTCCGTTTTTTACTGTCGTGACGAAAGGTTGGGAATAATCGCGGTCGCGAATCAGTTTCTCTCTCTCTCTCTCTCTCTCTCTCTCTCTTTCACTCTCTCTCTCTCTTTCTCTCTCTCTCTGTCTCTCTCTTTCTCTCTCTTTCTCTCTCTCTCTCTCTATTTCTCTCTTCGCACCGAGGAGTTGTCTGACCCGCACCGGTTCGTACTACTGAATCGCGGACGTTTCATCTAGAGGTCAGGATTTACAATTAGAACGTGCATTAACCTTAAGTCGATGGAAGCTAGATCATCGTTGTCGAATATCTTGTTTTCCAAGACGAATAAACAAAGATTTGAATTTGGATAAAACGTACTATTACAGATCACTGTCGGAGCAGAAATTTCCTGTACCATACATAGACATCTTTACATATCCTGGTAAAATCAAATAACAGATACCTATAATTCTAATAGAACGATAAATATTAACGTAATTTATTTTTCAAGCACGCTACGATATTACCGAAGGAATGTTGTATAAGAAAAAGTAAAGCGAGTAGCAAATAAGAGGAAAAATTTTACTCGAATGAAAATTTAATTCTAAATTTATAGAAAAAAAGAGAAAAAAATAGTCCATAGTAATTTCTAAAGGAATAAACGTGAAATATTTGCAGGAACAAAACGTGACCCAGCTTTCACCGTCCAAGGATTATACGTATATCAGATATGTCGGAAGTTCGATTCGCGAGTCTCTTTACCCGTATCCATTTTGTTAGGTCATTTAACAGATGAAAATGGCCGGATTGTTAATAAAACCATTCAAGGCCTCTAGTCGCGTTGCGTTGTTTGCATCTTACCGACACACCTAGAGCTTTGTTATCGTTGTCCCGCTATGTCCCAGCGCTTTTCAGACCCGACACGTACCGGCAAAGAGCATACCCGACACGCACGAAACATTTCCGGGATTAATAAAAGCGTGCAAAAATCCCTCGGCTGTGCTACGCGCTACGCGCCTTACGAGCTCTCACTTGGCCTTCTCGCAATACCTCCTTCTTATTACATTATCGCTGTATACTCTTATATTTAACGATTTATTCTCTTAGATGCATATACCAATTTTTACGACGACCTTTTACTCTTAATTTACATCGGAGTATCGTCCGAGTAACGCTCGATGAGCCACGCGGCACCATTTCCAAGGAAACAAAGTAGTTGCGATCTCGACTCGTCAGACACACTCGTTCCAATCCATTTCTTATAGTAAGGTGTAACAATCCCCCAACCCCCGTCTCTGTTCTCGACACACAAGGTTTACATTGGATTTCCCGCGATTAAGTTCGCGGCGACGACCACAACAACGACGACAAATACGACGATCACGATGAACATTGGAAATGAAAGAATCCTGTAAATTGCACGTGATCGTCGTCGAATGCGCAACTGCTCGTTCCTCGCTCGGTCCTGCAGCCCCCTTTCTCACTATCCGCACTTTTCGCTAACCTATATTACGAATACATGCATCTACGGGGAGAGAAGAGAAAGAATTTCTCGCCGCTCGAATAGGCGTTTCGTACCCATGATTTCTATCTGTCAGTACGTCTTAAGCTGAATCTCACACTGATGGACAATTGCCCGCAGACACGCGTCGCGCCCAATCAGCGTCTGTATTTCCTAGGATACAGGCAGTAAAGCAGACGCCGATTGACCGCAACACGTGTCCGCGGACAGTTGTGTGTCAATGTAGATTTAACTTTACAGGATGATTTCACAAGAAAAGAAAGAAATAACTCGACAACATGGATCATGCACTTTGTCAATTTGTTGTTTCGTCAAACATTCGCCGAATTATTTATACCGCATACTTGCCAATTAGTTCGGTTAATTGCAGCGAACGAACAAACAGCAGTAGAGAAAATTCGAGAAATAACGCAAGATATAAGCGCGTCGATAACAGACGCTTCACGTATAAAATTGAAAAAATCTCAAGAAGCGTGAACGACTCTTATTTATCGATTTAAGAAAATGAACCTGTACAATTGGTAAATCAATTCTCCAGATAACTCGACGATCATAAATCGTATCTATTACGTTTCTCTTGTATTTGCTTTTGCAAACACGTTCGTCGAGTTATTTATTGGAAAATCAACCTGTAGATATTCGAGCGAATAAAAAGTTTCGTTGCTTGTTCCATTTATGATTTTGCAGTCGTTTGGGACGTTCGCTGATGCTTGGTACGCGCAAAACTCGATCATCGTCATCACGCCATTATCATCCTCACTTTTTCTTTGGTCATTCTGCTCTGACTGTCGCGTCTCATATAATTTTTCACCGTTGCTTTCGATTTCTTGCGAGATTGGTTCACAGCTCGCCGGCACCCTTGCTTCACCGTCCAAACTTTCGGTTCTTTCAAAACGGATCGATTCGACGTCGTCACTTTGTTCCATACACATGTTTCTGTACACACGCCCCTTTTCTCTTTTTCTTCCTTCCTCTCTTCTCTCTCTCTCTCTCTCTCTTTTTCTTTCTCTCTCTCTTTCTCTCTTTCTCTCTCTCTCTCTCACTCTCTCTCTCTCTCTCTTACTATAAGGATTGGACCAAAGGTTTTGATTGTGTGTATCTTTGATCGGCCAACTTTTACATTACTTTATACCGTGTATATACCTGTGTTTCTTTCTTCGAACCAGACCCCACTCGTCTGCAACTTTTTTCAAGCATGTTCCTTCGTGTGTGCGTAAAGGAATGCGCGCGTATCGTACGCGCAGCATGCGACATGCACGTGATCTAAATATGTTGTGTAAACACGTACAGGAGTTGGCGATCTCCGTTTGCTCTGCACGTCGAGTTAGCGTGTAGCCATGCATGCTGTTTCAAGCTTCGTTTTTTGCCGAACAAAAAGGACGCAGTCGAGGCGCGTTTACCGGGTATCGAGTAACACTTTTTTTCTAGAGGCAGCAAACAGCTAACGTACGTTTTCGGGAACGAAATAGAGGATTTTTGGTGGATGCCCGGCGAACGTTACTCGACTAGCACGGCTTTCTTTTTCGTACACGGACTGACAAAGAGAACACGGATGATAAATGCGGGACGAGAAACGTTCTGGAAGCGTCGATCGCCGCGCCTCCGTGAGAACTATTCGCGAGCGAATTAGGACACAGAGCTACGCCGATTACAACGGCCGCAAATCTGATTTTGGATTTTTGATTTTTGGTTTCTCTGTTTTTTTTTTTAAGTTGACTAATACTGGACGACAACAATCGATGCCAAATGTAAAAGAGCCCCAAACGAGTACTGACTTGTAACACGCACAACGCACGCACAAAACGTATAACCCAGACCGCAGGTAACTATTTAACGGAATTAATAATTACGTATGTTTATTCCATTGATTTTGTTATAATATACTTTTTTTCTATTTTCGCTCACCGACTCATTGACTCGCATCGTTCGATCGATCTCGCGCCTTCCGATTTTCTCGGTCATCCTACTTTTTTCGCCTATTTCTCACGGTTTTTTTCTTTCTCTCTCTCTCTCTCTCTCTCTCTCTCTCTCTCTCTTTCTCTCTATCTATCTATCTGTCTATCTATCTCACTATCACGCTCTAGCCCTCGATCGCTCACCATTTGTCTCACCCACAGCACCCTTGCATGCGAACATTATATTCGCGCACATTTCACTATTACTGGCATGACGTAGCCGATACACGAATGGTCGATTCGCGAGCCATCGTCGCTCGATAGCGGTGCGTCCTACTACCAATCTCTCTTCCGCTTCACACGGGGATACGTATAGTGGTTCATGAAATTGTTTGAGTCGTTAGAAGCGTTTCACGAATGCATTTTGTACCGTTAATATATTAGTAAGATTCGAAGATATTTTGAAATTTGATTGTGGCTACGACGCGAGTGGACTTTTATGCAAATTCATATCTTCAACGACATAATTCGTGTGTTACACGTTATATACATACGTTATACGATAAATATAGTTGTGCAACTTCCGTGTACGTTTTTAGATTACTTTCAAATACAATCGAGTCTCAATAGCGAGAAATCCTGCGTCATAGTTATTGCAAATAGTTTCGTAAGTCGCTATATATTCCTCATTTCCTGGAAATACATTCGATCCCGGATCACAATGGCGCACCGCCCTCTGCGACGGTTCTCGGCGTCATCGAAAGTTGATCACATCGAAGCCGCATATAACCATCAAAGATCTTCTTTCTTTCTACTATCTCCCATCTCACACACAACTTTCGACGATCGCTCGAGCCTCCATCCGCAAGTTGCAAGCCGCAAGACCGAGAGAGCTCGATTTATCGAGCTCGATCGGCC